CCTTTTCTTCCGCATCCTCCCCCTCCTCTACGACTCGTGTTCCTCTTCCTCCTCCTCCTCCTCCTCTTCCTCCTCCACCTCCTCCTCCGTCTGCTTCTCACTTTCCTGTTCCTTTCATTATACCTCTCCTCCTCCTCCTCATCATCATCATCCTCTTCAGCGTTCTGTGTTGTAACCGTCAACGTCGCCGTCGACGTCCTCGTTCTGGTCGTCGCCTTTGCGTGATTGTGGTGGTGTTGGTCGTTCTCGTCGTGGTCGTGGCCATGGTTGTGGCCATCGTAATGGTCGTCACTGCTGCCACTGCTGCGAGGGTGGAGCACGGCTTGAACCCAACGCAGCAGCAAAGGAAGCGCCGACCGCGGAAAAGGCAGGGGGGAACGGGGAGAAAAGGGAAGCGCGAGAGGAGAGCGGCGGGAGAGGAGAGGAGAGGGGTGGCATGGGGGGCGCCAGGGGGGGGAGGGGCAGCTGTGAAGGGAGGCGTGGGGGTGGGCCGTGGGGGCCCTCCTCCTCCTCCAGCTCCCTCCTCCTCCTCGCGCCTGGCCGAGTTCCTCCTCCTCCTCCTCCGCCTCCTTCTCCTCCTATTCATCCTCCTCCTGCTCCTGCTCCTGCTCCTGCTCCTGCTCCTGCTCCTGCTCCTCCTCCTCCTCCTCCTCCTCCTCCTCCTCCACATCCTCCTCCTCCGCCTCCTCCTCCATGGGGGGGAGGGCGGGTGTGAAGGGAGGCGTTGGGGGGAGGGCCATGGGGCCCTCCTCCTCCTCCTTCTCCAACTCCCTCCTCCTCCTCACGCGTGGCCAAATCCCTTGTCCTCCTCCTTCTAATCCTCCTCCTGCTCCTCCTCCTCCTCAACCTCCTCCTCTTCCTCCTCCACCTCCTCCTTCTCCTGCTCCTCCTCCTCCTCCTCATAAGTGTGCTCATGGTCATTATGATACCCATCAGCATCACCATCACCATCACCATCACCATCATCATCATCATCATCATCATCCTCATCATCATCATCATCATCAGCATCATCATCATCACCATTATCATCGTCATCATCATCACCATCATCATCGTCATCCGCATCATCACCATCATCACCATCATCATCACCATCATCATCACCGTCATCATCAGCAGATACAATCATCCTCATCCTCCTCAGCATCATCATCATCATCATCATCATCATCATCATCATCATCATCATCATCCTCATCCGCATTAACATCATGATTATCACCATCAGCAGCATCACACTCAGCATAATCATCATGATTATCACCATCAGCAACATCATCCTCTTCCTCCTCCTCATCATCATCATCAGCATCATCATCCTTCTCATCCTCTTCCTCATCCCCATCATCATTCTCGTCCTCATCCTCCTCCTCCTCCTCATCATCATCATCATCATCATATCCATCATCGTCATCATCCTCGTCACCGTCAGCATTAGCACCATCACAAGCACCAGCATCATCGCCATCATATCATGGGCAGCATCATCAGCAGCATCATTGTCATCATCATCGTCATCATGATCCCCGTCCACCTCCTCATCATCACCAGATCAGCATCATCATCATCAGCACCATCATCATCATCATCATCATCATCATCATCATCATCATCATCATCATCATCATCATCATCATCATCATCCTCGTCATCACCATCATCATCATCATCAGCATCAGCATCGCCATCATCATCATCCATCTCCTCCTCCTCCTCTTCATCATCATCATCGTCACCATCGCAATCAGCATCAGCATACTGGTCCCCCTGCTCCTCCTCCTGACTTCTGGTTCTTCATTGTCCTCGTCCTCCTCATCAAAGCCGTTCTCCTTTTTTCCTCGGCTCATGCTCCTCGCAACCCATTCAAAGAGCGACTTGCTCCCTTCTCTTCCTCCTCCTCCTTCTCTTCATCCTGCTCCTCTCCCTCCTCCTCCTCCTCCTCAGCAGCAGCATCATCATCATCGCCGTCAGTAATATCATCATCCTCATCATCATCATCATCATCATCATCATCATCGTCATCAGCATCATCATCATCATCATCATCATCATCAAAGTCATCATCATTATCAGAGTGGGGGGCGAACGGTCATTCACCGTCCCTGGGTGCCTGGCTGAAGTGGGATTCCGCGATGCGGATGCTCGATGTTGCTGTTGCTGATGTTGTTGTTATTGTTGCTGGTGTTGTTGTAAGTGTTGCTGTTGCTTTTATTGATAATGTAATTGTTATTGTTATTGCTAGTGTTATTAATATTGTTTTTGTTGTTGTTAATTGTTAGTTGTTTGGCGTCGTCCCCCCCGCGACCCGGCCCGCGACCCACCCGCGACCTACCCCGCGACCCACCCCGCGACCCGCACACGACCAACCCGCGACCCACCCGCGACCCACCCGCGACCCACCCCGCGACCCACCCACATTGCTTTCACGAAAAATCGGCGCCTGCGGCGAGTTCGCTGTATAATTTGAAAAAAAGTAAGGCGCCCGCGGCGGGCTCCTTCAGAGCTTCGCAGACTGCCGACGTCCCCGCCGCCCCCTCACCGTTATCCGCGACTGCGGGGTTCTACGGTTATTAGTATTCTTCCTTGTACCACCCACACGATCGTCATCATCACCATCGTCATAAGCAGCAGCATCACCACCACCACAATCATCACCATCATCACCAGCATCATCACCATCAAATCATCATCAGCATCACAACCACCCACATCAGCATCATCAGCAGTATCGCCATCACCACCACCACCATCAACAGCAGCAACAACAACTACAGCAGCAGCAACAGCAGCAACAACAACAACAACTATAACCACAACCACAACACCACCACCAACAACAACGACAACACGATTAACAACAACAAAAACAACAATAATAACAACGGAAACAACGGAAACAACAACAACAACAACGGAAGCAATGGAAACAACAACAAAACAACGACAACACAAATAAAAGCAACACCAACAACAACATCAAAAACAACATCAGCAACCACAACCACAACCACAACCACAACAGCAACAACAACAGCAACAGCAACAGCAACAGCAACAGCAACAGCAACAGCAACATCATCATCATCATCATCATCATCATCATCATCATCATCATCATCATCTCCATCACCTTCACCACCATCATCATCATGGTTCCTCCCTTCCCGCACTATGGAAACCAATTGAAACCCCACACATCCTCCGAAGACTGTCAACAGCCAGTAAGCGTCCTCAGGAAAAACGGAACCAACTCCTCCGTCTCCGCGTCGTCCCCATCCACCAGGAAGGGAAGAGGAAGGAAGGGGGTCCCTGCACCCGTCGTCCCCGCCGTCCCCGTCGACGACGACGGCCATGGCGACACCGACGTCAACGCCGACGCTGCCGCCGCCAGCGCCGCCGCCGCCAGCGACGTTGCCGTTGCCGCCGCTGCCGCCGCTGTCGTCGTCGTCGTCGTCGTCGTCGTCGCCGCCGCCGCCGCCGCCGCCGCCGTTGCCGCCGCCGCGGCCGCCGCTGCCGCCGCCGCCGTCCCCACCGCCCGCCTGAGTGCGGCCGCCCAGGCGCTCGTCCGGGGGCGTGGGCTGCTGCCCGGGACCGCCGCAGCCGCCGGCGCTCGGCCGCGTCGGCGCCAGCCCGGCGGCCATCATGGGCTGGCCGGCTCCTCGGCGCCGCTCCGAGATCTCCGACCGTGCGAAACATGTTCAATCCGGAGACGTTTCCTCGAGCCTGGGGACCGCCAAGACAGGATCCCGGACGAGAAACTACCTTGGGGGAAGGGTTCGGGACCTCTGGGCCCCGCATTGAAATCATTCGGCGCGGGGATCCCCCTTAAAATCACTCGACAACTGCCTCTCTTGGCGCCCGAGCATGAGCAAAATTAAGCGCGATTGCGACCGAGGATGTGCAAGTTTGCGTGAAAGCGCTCCTCTCTGCTTCTGTCTGCAGCCGTATGCTGCATTCTCTCTGCCGCCGTACGCTATCCCCTGGCGGCTCCCCCTGAGGGTGTACAAGTGCTACGCGTGCTACATTGCAGTAACCATGGGGCTCTGAAAGGACCGCGTCCAAGGTGCAAAACAAGCGCTGCGCTCGAGACATCCGCACACCAACAGTCTGGGCTCGAACGGGCAAGTGAACTTCCAACTGGCGGCTCCCCTTTGGGATGCTGGTGGTGCTGCTGCTGTCGCTGGTCTCTGTTGGTGTCTTCTGGTGCTTATTGGTCTGTTCAGGTTGGACTGGTTTCGCATGAGACGTCGCCACAGTCTGGCAGCGAGGCCTGGGGAAGACAGCCATGCGGGCCCCCCTTGGGGTGCCCAAACCAGCGTTTCGCTTTAGACGTTCCCGCAGTCTGGCCGCGAACTGGCAAGTGCCCCTGGCGGCTCACCCCTAGGGTGTTCAAATGCCATGCCTGCTACATCGCGGTGGTCATGGAGCTCTCCCTGAAAGGAAAAGAGTCGGGGTGCCAAAAACAACGCTTCGCCTGAGAAGTCAGTACAATCTGGACGTGTCCTACCCCCTGGTGGCCCCCGCCTGGAATGCCCAAGTGCCATGCCTGCTGCATCGGGGTGATGGGCCTATTTTCCACCACCACCACCATAAGTTGGAGGGGGGAAGGAAGAGGATGAGGATGAGGATGAGGATGAGGATGAGGATGAGGATGAGGAGGACCCCTCCCCCTCCAACTTATGGTGGTGGTGGTGGTGGGTAACAGGCCCATCATCGGGGTGATGATGGGGATCTGAAAGGGGAGAGAGTCGACGGTGCAAAACAAGCGCCTCGATCGAGCCGTCCCCACAATCTGGGCGCGGACCAGCAAGTGCCCTGCCCCCTGGCGGCTGCCCCTCTGGGTGCCACAGTGCTACGCCTGCTTCATCGCAGCGACGATGGGTCTCTGAAACTACCCCCTGACAGCTCCCCACTGACAGACAGAGACAGAGAAGCCAGGCGCCCGGACGGCGCATACTCCTGCTTCATCGTAGCGACTATGGGTCTCTAAAACTACCCCCTGACAGCTCCCCACTGACAGACAGAGACAGAGAAGCCAGGCGCCCGGACGGCGCATCGGCAACAGAGCATCCACTAAGGATTGGCCAGCCCCCGCACGCACCACTCAAACGTCGCGAAGATCATACGGGTTGGGTATGGGTACGGGTGAGTCTGACTACGTGTGAGTATGAAAGTGAATGATCTGCGTGTGAAGGGTCCAGATGCATGAATCTGAATACGACTGAGCCAAGCATGAGGGCATGTGAGTGTGAGTGGTTTGAGTGGGCGAGTCTGAGCGCGAGTGAGTCTCAGTGCAAGTCTGAGCATGAGTACGTCTGAGTGCGAATGATCTGAATGCGAGTCGTCTGCAAACAAGTCTAAATATGACTCGGCTGCATATGAGTGGATCTGATTGTGAGTGGCGGACAAACAGCGCGGTCCCGGGGCCGCAGGCCAGCCGCGGGCGATCGGCGGCGGCGTCGTCGGCGGCGTCGCCGTCGTCGTCGCCGAGGCCGGCGCCGTCGCCGTCGTCGGTGCAGAATCGTTGTCGGTGTTGTCGCCGTCGTCGTTGTCCTCGCCGTCTAAATGCTGGTCGTCCCAAGGAGGGGAGGAGGGAGAGGGGCGGGGCGGGAGGGGGAGGGTCGTCTCTCCGCTGGCGCAAACACTCAGACAACAGCGGCCGTGGAAGAGTCGCCGAGGTTCTCTGGACACTGCAGCACCGTGGCCACAGGCGTCCGCCTCGGATGTCTGGGAGGAAAAGGGTGAGATCGGGGAGAGAGGGTTGCTTTCATATGTCGTGGGGCGTCGTCGGCAGCATGCAGTGCTCAAACGCATGTGACCCCGGAGGTTTCGAGGGCAGTCGCGTTCCGACAGACTGTGCAAATCAATACGTTGCGCATCTACATCCTGAGCCTCGTGACACAACGAGGAGAACGAAAGAGGAAGGGAACGCGGGAGGGAGAAGGGAAGGAGGGACGATCGAGGTTTGGGAAGCATTCTGGACGCGATGATGCGCTGTCTTCGGCGCCGTGTCGCGGGGGCACACCTCCTTCTCGAGTGTCGCGGATGTATCTAGGTGTTAAGCGTTATCGTTTTGGGGCCTTCACGGGTCAGCCGACCTCCTGCTGCTCCGCCGCCTCCGCCTCCCCCGCCCCCTCCTCCTCCTCCTCCTCCTCCTCCCCCTCCTCCTCCTCCTCCTCCCCCTCCTCCTCCTCCTCCTCCCTCCCTCCCTCCCTCCCTCCCTCCTTCCGGGGGATATGGAGGAGGACGAGGAGGACGGGGACGAGCCGTCGTCCTCGGCTGTCTCGCCGCCACGACGACGGGCAATAGCAGCGGCAGCAGCCAGCGGGAGCAGCCATCGGCCTCCGCTCCCCAGCCCCGCTAGTGGAGCTTCCTCTGGGGGAGCAAGAGGAGGAGGAGGAGGAGGAGGAGGAGGACGAGGAGGAGGAGGAGGACGAGGAGGAGGAGGAGGAGGACGACGAAGATGATGCGTCGTCCTCGTCGTCACGACGACGAGCGGGAGAGCCGCACCGACGACCCGCGCCGCCCTTGGGGGTCCCGGCTGTTGCATGCCAGGCTGCGGCATGCCAGGCTGCACCTTGCCCGCGTGCTGGGCGGCGGGCCGGACGACGACGACGACGACGACGACGACGACGACGACGACGACGACGACGACGACGACGACGACTACTACGACGACGACGCCGGCGGCAGCGACAGCAGCGGCGGCGGCGGCGAGGACGAGGACGACTGCGAAGACAACGAGGACGAGGACGACCAAGATGAGAACGACGACGACGATGACGACGCGGACGAGAAGGACGACGACGACGACGATGACGATGACGACGACGACGACGACGAAGAGAAACGGGGAAGGAACAGCGTCAATGAAGGGTGAGAGACGAAGAGGGAGATGGGACTTAGGAGGGCCTGGTTTACGGTCGACGCGCCCTATTCAGCTAAAACGAGGACGAAGACAACGAGGAGGAGGTCGACCAAGACGACAACGATGAGGACGACGAGAGACGATGGATATGGGGCTCAGGAGAAGGAAAAGGATAATGATGACTCTTTGGTTTCCTGGTTTACGGTCGACAAACCCTATTCAGCTGTGAACGCCACCCTTGGACGAGGGCAGAACAAAAATAACAACGACGACGACAATGACGGACGGCGCACGACGACCACGACGAAAGACGACGCCGACGCTCCCAGCTCTCAAAAGAGAAGAGCATACCCATGCCGCAATGGATACCGTTCCCGCGTTCCCGATTTGTTGGTCTTCCCCTGGGGGGGCCCTCGTCGCCGCGGCTGGATGCGCCGCGGAATCCTGGTCAGAACGCACGCTGGGAGACGTCCAGGAAATAATGACATCGGTATCTTCGTGATCCTTCCGGCCGACACGCCGACACGCAGTTGTGTTTCGTCCTTTGGGGCTCGCAAGGGTGCGGATCGGGCCTCTCAGTTCTGATGCACGAGAGCGGGAGCAACACAAAGAGGACCGTACATCTTGCGGCCCCGCAGCGTCTCTGGATACCTCTGGCGGAAAAAAACATCCACACGAACCCGATCATCGCGAAGGCGGTCCTTGCACGGCGCATCAAAATCTTCACCGCTGGCGGGCAGGTTCCATCGAGAGCGGTCGTGAAGGCGGCGTCGAACCGCACATATGGCGCAGGTCGCGGCGGCGCAAACCGCGGTCGGTCCGCGCATGCGCCAGCAAGGCCTCCGCCAGGGCGCAAGGGCCCCGGCGCTGCGCCCAGCAGCGGTGCGGTTGACGCCTGCTCCGGACGCAGGCTGACGTGCCGACGCAAGCGTCGCTGACGTCCCGAAAGACATGAAGCTGGGAGCCCCGACGACAAAGGCGAGGCGTGGCAGCCGCGGTCGGCGTTCATTCGTCATCATCACCGCGTTCGGGCAGCCTCAACAACTCGGGCAGCTCGCCGCCGCAAATTAAAACGTTTCGGCGTGTTGCATTTTCAATACGGGATGCCATCGCGCATGGCTTGTTAGCCTCATTTGCCTGGGAATTTACTTGGGACGAAGCATGCAACAGTCTATATATGTAAGATATGCACAGCTACATATGCTATCGGATAATCGGCTGCGCAGCGGCGTCCTGCATTTGGAACCGATGATACATCAGCATCACCATCATCATCACCATCACTACCACCACCACCATCATCATCACCATAACCATCTTCATCACCACCACCATCATTCCACCAACATCATCAGTAGCCTCATTATCATCATCACCACCATCTGGATCACCAGCAGCATCACCATCCTCATCCGCAGCATAACCATCATCATCACCGTCGTCATCATCATGATCTCCAACGTTCTATTTCCGAAATACCCCATGTGTACAGTTTGCGATGTAAAGCTTGCGAAAAAGGCGGCCATGGGCGTCGGGGCGCAACGGCGTTGTCTCTGCCGCGTGGCCTCACAGAGCCCCCAAAACAGAGAGCGCTCAACATGTTCAAAAGCTGTTCGCCAGGGCGGGGGGAAAGGGCGAGAAAGCTGCAGCTCACTTCCTTATACTATCATAGCCGCTGTGCTCACATGATACCCGACGTCCGTTTTCCAAAGCACGCCAGGTGAAGTTTGCGGTGGAAAGCTAAGGGCGCCAGGGCGCAGCGGCGTTGTCTCTGCCGCTCGTCCGCACAAAGCCCCGAGGACAGAGAACTCCCAATATCTATAAATCCCATCGTCATTGCCATGTGTTTGATATGCGTATTGCTCCTGAGGTGCGTTGGTGACGCAGTCTCCCACCGCTCCGCGCATCTCGAGCGAGTTGAGCAAATTGCTGGGCGCGCTGACGGCTGTCGGACGTCCGGACGTCGTGCGGGCGAAGGCCAGGGCGACCACGCCCATCTAAAGATACTGACGCGTTGCTGTTGAATTTTCCTCCATCGCGAAAGACGCCCCTACCCTTACCTAGGCAGGGTGGCAAGGGGCGGGGGGGGGGGGGGCGACGCGTCGCAGCCGAAAGCGGTGCACAAGTGTAGTAGCGACGGCCGATTGGGCGTTGCAAGGCGCTACCTCCCCCAGGCACCCATAGGTGCCGAGTGCGCGCGCGCTCGAGTCGGCGGAATGGCCGACTCTGCGCTGATCGCTGTCGAACTAGACCAGCTCGCCTACAGCGCGAGAACAGTAGCGCATATTCAAGCGTTGGGGGGTCGACGCATTCAGGGGCGACTGAGAGCAAGTCTGGCGCCAGCGTCAGCGCGGGACACCCAGGAAATCGCGATTGTTCGACGCAGAGGCAAGGCGGCTCCGAAGTCTGGGCGCGGACACCAGAGGAGCCCCCCCTCGAAAACCCGCCTGGAATCACCCCAGCTAGGTCCCGGCACGTGCCCGGGGGTACCGCGTCGACGCCGCGTCGACGGCGCCCCCGGGAACATGCCCGTGCCTAGGCGCGGCGGCGTCTGGCCGAAATCGCTCTCGGGCATACGTTTTGCCCCGTAGCCTTCCCGACGCGGCCGCTGCGGCCCCCCCGGGGGCGCGAGATTGCAACGTCGCTCCTATGGGCAAGCTCAGACGTAGTGGTCGCCAGGATACTGGGGGGGGGTCTTTCCTAACGGGGCAGGCGCCGCCGCTCCGACGCGGCCTCCAACCGCGCTCGCACCCCCGCGCACCCAGGCGCCCCTAACAAAAATCAGCGCGCGTTGCTGCAGACACAACCGGCCATTTAACGCATCGATGCGCCTTGACGCCCGCGGATGCTGAACCAGCGCGCGCGCGGCAAACAGACCGGGAACAGCGGCGAGCGCCCAATTCAGCGGGCGGCCCTGTTCATCCTGGCTGACCCCGGGTAAGGGTGCGTTTAGGACCAATGAATCCCACCAGCCCTCTGGGCGTCGGTGGTTTAGGGAGTTTCCTCTTCCACCCCTCCTTTTTCCCCTTCGGGGAAGGGTTTATCGCTGTTCCCTATTAATAAACACCCCCTCCCCCAGGCGACTGGGGGCCAACCCAGGTCCAGACGAACCCCCCCCACAATCCCTTGTTAAAAAAACAATGCAAACACACACTCCGCCTCCAAATTCGGAACATGCGCAGCCAACCCGATGCGCCCCCCCCCCCCCCCCCACCACACCATCCCTGTCAAACAACAATGCAGAGTACACTTGGCGGAGGCGTCGGCGGCTGCGGCGGCGGCGGCTGCGGCGGCTGCGGCGGCTGCGGCGGCTGCGGCGGCGGCGGCGGTGGCGGCGGTGGCGGCGGCGGCGGTAGCGGCAGCGGCTGCGGCGGCGGCGGCGGCGGCGGCGGCAGCGGCGGCGGCGGCGGCGGCGGAGGCCGCGGCGGCGGAGGCGGCGGTGGCGGCGGCGGATTGGCCCCCAGTAGCTCCCCATCCAAAGACGACTGCTGAATATGCTGATGCTCGGGCCAGACTCGGGTGCTACGTATGTGTTGGGAGGGCGGGTGGGAGTGAGCGAGACGGCTTGCGGGCGGGGGGGAGTGTTGACCCCTTCCCCTACCCCCTCCCCATGGACCTGGACAGGGGGTTCCGCGAGGTGTCGGAGCATCCAAAACGGCCTCGGCGAGGAAGCACCAATCATTGGTTTTACGATGGTTTAGGCCCCATTTGGGCCTCCTGGGGGGGGGCTAATTAAGGACCCCCCCATGCGTTGACCGATATCATCCAAGATGGTCCCAAGAGAGCCCCTAAAGCTTCCAAGAACGCCCCGACAAGGCCCCCAAAGGAGCCCAAACGGGCCCAAGAGGCCCCCAGGAGGCCCCAAGAGGCCCCAGGATTGCCCCAAGATAGCCCCAATATGGCCCCAAGAGACCCCCAAAAGACCCCCCAAGAGAACCCCAAGCGGCCTCCCCGAGGCACCCAAGACGCCCAAGAGTCCTCAGGACCGCCAAGAGACCCCCGAAACGCCCCAAAAGGCTTCAAAACAACCGCCCACGAGATATCCCAAGGGGCTCCGAGAGGCATTCAAGAGACCTCCAAGAGACCCGAAGAGGCTTCACGAAGATCCCCGAAGCCTCCAAGATCCTCCCCAGACGCTCCAAGAGGTTTCCAAAACAACCCCCAAGAGACATCCTAAGAGGATCATATGTCCGCCCTGCTTTCTCCTCCTTCTCCTTGTCTTTATTATTATTACTCTCCTCCTCCTCACATCCTCCTCCTCCTCCTCCTCCTCCCCCTTTACCCGTCTACTCATCATCCGAGAACCAGCATCATCAGCAACAACAGCAGCAGCACTAGCAACAGCAACAGCAGCAGCAGTACCAGCAGGAGCAAGAGCACCAGCAATAACACTTGCAACCTTCGCCACAAAAGATCTCCCAATTCACCGTTGTTGCCCGCCCCGGTTCACTCTGTGAGTCTCTTCTTCCTTTCTTTCGTCAGCTTTCCTGGGCATCGTTTCTGGATGGGCTGGTGTGGATACGCGAAGCGTCTGAAATTCTCCCAGCGCCAGCCACCCCAGGTCTTGGAATGGGTGGAAACGATGGGTGGCCCTGCCTCCATGTGGCGACCCAAGGGTGTACGGCGAGTCGCTGATGCCGACGAAGCTCTCGAGGTAACTTAGATGTACCTCTGCGCCAGCCGACGCAGTTAGCCAAGGCGCAGCGCTGTCGTCCGGGAGAGGGGGCCAAAGACGTGCCCCAGCAAGTTCAGCAGCGCAGGACCGTCGATCAGGACGCCCTGGGACTTAGACCCTCGGTCCGATGTTTTGGCCGAGAGCAGCGCGGGCACGCCTGCGTTGACATCGCCTCCCAGGCCCCCAGGCAACACGAGATGCTGACCGAAGGCAATTGCGACCTCGTTGGGTCTTTCCAGCGAGTGGTGGGCGAGGGGCAGGCGCGCCGCCGCCGTCCCGCCCCTGCGCCTGGGCGGCCGCGGCCATGGCCAGCAGCGCTTCGACAGGCGTGGACACGCGCGTCTCGACCAGCTCCAAAATGCGCCAGCGAGCCACCGCGGCCCAAGCAAGGCGCCGCTGGGCCAGCGGAGCTGGGCGCCAACAAGGCTCTCGGATTCCCCATATGGCGCATTCGTATCGTAGAGGCACTGGGCTCGATGTCCCGCGCGACGTCGTCGTGGCGGGGCGGCCCTCGACTCTGGAGCCACAGGCTCCACTGGTCGAGCATGACGACATGCCGACGGGCAGCGGCGGGCTCGACTGTCTTTCGGAGACCCCGCCCGGCCCGTAAGGCCGCGCGCCGTGGGACTGCGCCCAGGCGCGCAGGTGGGCCTACTTCTGAAAATCCGAGCCAGCTGGAGAACACACCCAGGAGCATCAGCAGCGCGGCGAGCAGCAGCACATGCCGAGCTGCTCGGACACCGCGTCGCATCACTCGCTGGAATACTCCGTCGCAACCTCTGTCAGACGCCGCCAGACGCCGTCCTCGCACTTGATGCCGCCCTCCAAGGCGAGGTGCTGGTGGCTGCGGCCGCATCGCCTTGCCAGCAGGGGCAGGGACGGCCATCGCCCATCCAGATGGTGGTCTTGCGCCAGCGCCTGCCCCGCACGCACCAGTCAATGACGCACTTGTAGAGCGGCCCCGCGCTGAGGGCCTCTTGGAGCTCCGGAAGCGCCCACTGAAGAGATTGTTAAGGCTGCTCCCACGGCCACAGGGCGCCCGCGCGGCCGAGAGCCTTCACGAGATCCAGCCTGGCCCCCACGCACCTGTTGCCCAGGATCTCTTCGGGGCGCTGCCGCAGCCCCCAAATGCCCGCTGGCGAATCCGAGAGGATGGAGAGGACCGGTTCATGAACCGCGAAAGGATCCTTGGGGAGGGCCCAGGGCGGCCGCAATCGGCCTGATCCTCAAGATGAGCTCGATATCCTGGGCGAGTGCGTCGGGGCCCGCGAAGTTCTCGAGAGGGCCATGCAGCACGTCGCGGCTGATGACGATCCAGCCGCGGCGGTCCAGGGCCGCGCTGAGGGGAGCCTTCGGCCATCTAATTAAGGCGTCGTGGAAGACCGGTGGTCGGCTGCAGAAGACAAAGCGGTGTACGCTCACGGCCCAGCTCCAAAGCTTCTCGAAGGCGGCAGTCAACTCCACCACCTCGGGAGAACGCGGTCTGGCCTAACGCATCTCAGCACTTCTTGCTCATCTGCAGGATTGTGGGTACTCCGTACCCGAAAGGAGAAGAGGGAGTACCCTGCAAACAGCAAACAACGGGGTAAGCATGGCGAAGATCCTGCTGAAGACACTGCTGGACAATCGCCCTCGGACGCCAACGCTACGTACAACCTGTGGATCTATGAGCACTGGGATACGATTGCCATGCATATTTCGCCAATCAGTGCTTATACTGAAGGGTTCCTAGCGGACATTGAAAAATTTGACGAGAATTTCCCGCCGATGTTGGTAGCTGGCTGGGTTCCCAAGTTCCAGGTTCCGCTTTCCGGGTTCTTGGTTATTGGTTCCGGGCTGATTTCGGTGGGTTCCGGGTTCCGGGGCTCCCGGGTTCCCGGTCGATCGCCGTATCGATCTCTCTATCGATCCCACAATTCAAGACCATCCACTGATTGGGGTTTCTCTCTGGTGTAATTCGGTCCTTGACCGCACGCTTGGCCAGCGATCCAAGGGCGACGGCCTCTCGTACATTGACGTGGCGTCGGCCCGAGAACCTGTAGCACAGCAGGGCGGTAAACTGTTGATACGCCCTGCCGAAAAGTGGAGCAGGGAGTCACCATGTACCCCGCCCCCCAGGATATCGAGAGGCTCGTCGGGATGCGCGGCGCGGGGGGTGGTTTTGGAGGGACAATGCCCCGCGTCTCCTCCTCCTCCTCCTCTCCTCATTCCTCTCCTTCCTATCATCTGTGCCTGTGCCCTCCGCATGTCCATCTTGGGACACCCCTCACACGTTCCGTGGCCCCATAGAGAGCTCCACCGAAGGCCCCAATGGCAGGGTTCGCACGCGGTTCTATCCCCATTTCGGCACACCCCTCTAACGTTTCGTGGGCCCATCGGGAGCTCCACCGAGGCCGCAGTGGCAGGGTTCGCATGCGGTTCCGCCCCCATTTCGGCGCACACCTCGCATGCTCTTGCTCCCATACGGAGCTCCACTGAAGGCCCCTGTGGCAACGTTCGCTTGCAGTTCCCCGCCGGTTTCGGTACACCGCTCACACGCTTCGTGGCCCCATGGCGAGCTCCACCGAAGGACCAGCGGCAGGGTTCGCATGCAGTTGTTCGCACCCCTCACACGTTTAGTGACCCCGTAGGGAGCTCCCCGAAGGCCACAGAGGCAGGGTTCGCATTCGGTTCCACCCCTGTTTCGGCACACCCCTCATCATTCCGTGCTCCCATCGGGAGATCCGTCGAAGGCAGCAGTGACACGATTCGGACGCGGTTCATTCCTAATTCGGCCACCCCTCACGCGTGTCGTGGCCGCATAGGAAGTTCCACCGAAGACCGCAGTCCACAGCCCATGTCGGCGCACCCCTCACACGTTTAGCGGCCCCCGTAGGGAGCTCCCCGAAGGCCCCAGAGGCAGGGTTCGCATGCGGCTCTCCGACCATTTCGGCACACCTCTCACACGCTTCGCGCCCCCTAGGGAACTTCGCCGAAGACGAATATACAACTGCGGTATTCACAACTGCATATGGCTGGGTCATTGGCGCTTTTCCCATCATCCTGTAGAGCTCGCGGTTTGAAGACACAACGCCCCGCATCACATCACATCCCTCCCTCCTCCCTCCCTCCTTCCATCCCTGCCTCTGCTGTCCGCACGTCCACTTCGGCACACCCCTCTGATTCGTGGCCCCAGAGGGAGCTCCACCGAAGGCCCCAGCGGAGACGTTCGCATGCTTTACTGCGCCCATTCCGGCACACACCTCACACGCATCGTGGCACCATATGGGGACTCCACCGAAGAGCCCAGTGATGACGTTCGCACGCGGTTCCACGCACACTTCCGCACACCTCTTCCACGCTTCGTGGCCCCATCGGGAGCTCCACCAGAGGCCCAGAGGCGACGTTCGAATGCGGTTCGCCGCAAATTTCGGCACACCCCTCACACGCTTCGTGGCTACATAGGGAGCCCTACCGAATGCCCCAGTGGCGACGTTCACACGCTTCCCCGCCCACTTCGGCGCACCCCTCGCACGTTTCGTGGCCCCATACGGAGCTTCACAGAGGTCCCTAGTGGCAGGGTTCGCATGCGCTTCGCCGCCCATTCCGATACACCCCTCGTACGTTTCCCGCGCCCATATGGAGCTCAACCGAAAGCCCTAGCAGATACGTTCGCATGCGGTTCCACCCCAAGTTCGGTACACCCTTCAAACGTTTCGCGGGCCCACGCGGAGCTCCACCGAACGCCCGGCGACGTTCACACGCGAATCCCAGCCCATTTCGGCACACCCCTCACACGCTTCGTGGCCCCAAGGGGTGGTCCACCGAAGGCCCCAGTCGCAGGATTCGCATGCGGTTGGCCGTCCATTTCGCCACACCCCTCACGCGTTTCGTGTCGCCATGAAGAGCGCCACCGAACGCTGTTTGCATGCGGTTCCACGCCCACTTCGGCACACCCTTTACACATTTCGTGTCCCCATAGGGAGCTCCGCCGAAGGCCTCAGTGGCGACGTTCGCGTGAGGCTCCCAGCAAATTCCGGCACTCCTCTCACACGTTTAGTGACCCCAGAGGGAGCTCCTCAAAAAGCCCCAGTGGCGACGTTCGCATGAGGTACCCCGCAAATTTCGGCACACCCCTCACACGTTTCGTGGCCCTATAAGGAGCTCCACCGAAAGTGGTGCGACAACGCGGTACTCTCAACTGCATAAGTCTGGGTCCTTCGGCAAGATGTGTGTGTGTTTTTGTCCTAACGGGTTGTTGTTCGTCTCTTTGGTAATTCCACGGGGGCGAAAGCAAGCCTGCCCAGGGGCAAGAGAAGTCAGCTGCCCAGCAAGGGAGGCTATCCCGAGCAGACACTCAAGCAGCTTATCATCCCGCGTCAGCCCTCGCTGGCTCTACATTTTCGGGAATGAGTAGGTTAGCTCCCGATCTTCGCTCAGCATTGCCCCTGGATGTTTCATCCTTCTGTTGACCTGCTCTCGGCGCTGGAGGAGGACGTCTCCAGGATCCAAACGGGGCTTCGTTCGCTACGTAGCGTTCCTCAGGATAGCAGTTCGACTGTGCCCATCTTCCTCTCCTCCGGAGCTTCGGGGCGTCCTGGGACTTCTGGACTGGAAGTCTTAGAGTTTCCCCGAAGGCCCCCTCCAGTCCCCCAGAGGCCCATGGGCGGCCCGAGCGAGCGAACCGAACACGTCCGCCGGCCCTCCCCCTCCTCTCCTCTTGAGGGCGGAGGCGCAGCAGCGGCAACGCCTGCATCTGACCCATGATCGGGTAGAGCGGGTAGCCGGACAGGTGCCCGCTGGGCTGCATGGTGCCGAAGACACCCATCTGGCCAGGCCTCGGAAGTGCCGTCGCCCTGGAGCCCCTCCTCCTCCAGGGTGGAGGGGGAGGAGGACGAGGAGGAGGAGGAGGAGGAGGAGGAGGAGGAGGAGGAGGAGGAGGAGGAGGAGGAGTGGGGCGACGGGCTGTCGCCCAAACAACGGACAACACATAACAGATGAATGCTACATGTTCGATGGCATTCAAACGCGGACGTTCTGATGCTTCCGAATGCGTGGTTCCTAAGACCCAAGATGGATTAAGGCAATCCAAGACCCAACGGTGGACCAAGTATAATCCGAGACGCCCAAAAGGCTCCCAACAAGCCCAAAGCAGGCTAAGAGGCCCCAACAAGCCCCAAACTAGCTTCCAAAAAGCCTCCAAGAAGCTCCCGAGAGGCAGCGCAACAACCATGTAACGTTGCAGCCGCGACACGCTACAGCAGTGCAGTGCTGCCTCGCAGACAATCCCAAGATGGTGATACCGAGCCTGTTCGGGAGAGCCTCGTATCACAAACCCATCCATCCTTCATGCGTTTCGACACTGCGCTGACACAACGGCGGGACGTGCTGCAAGCAACTGGATGCAGGCCAAGCACGTTCCAAAATCTCGAGCCCTGCCCGCAGGGCCCCAGAAGCACCGCACCCCCGCCCCGAACCAGGCTGGCCCACGGCCGTTTTTGCCCTTCCCCCCCCACACGGCGCACCTATTTGCAGAAGGAGGAAAAGGACAACGAAGAGCCCGAAGAGGCAGATGAAGAGGAGGACGAGGAAGAGGAGGAAGATGAAGAAGAGGACGAGGCGGGGGAATAACAATCATCACACAAACTCAGAAAAGGAAGAGGAAGAGGACGAGTACGAGGAGGGGGAAGACTGCAGTGCACCTCCAGCAGGTGCCCGCACTCCGCGGCAGAGAGAGGCAGCCCGACCACGCAGCCCCCGCCTCTGACCAGCCCGACGCGTCCCGCAGCGCGGTGCACTCCGCCGAGCGAAGGCCCGATCGATGCGATCAGTCGCCGCGAGCCCAGGACGACCGACCCGGGCATCAGACGGTGTGATCCGTTCGATGTGCAGCCCGCGAGGCCCAGACCCCTTCCCCGGGGGTAGCTTCCCGCCCCGGGTCCCTTCGGGATGGTCCTGGAGCCCGATACGGTGAGGGCATTGGATAAGGAACCGTTGAACAAGGAATCCAGGGTCTGGAAGCTGGTGGAACACCAATCGTGGATCAGATACGGAATCCTCCAGGGTCCGAAGCCCCCTGAGCACATTCCTGAACGAGCGCCCCCACCGGACCAGGCCCCGCAGGCCTAAATCGAGGAAAAGCCCCGAGGCTGAGATTACCCCGGCAAAGCACCCTCACAGCCGCAAAGGTGTAGCGCACCTCAGTGCTTCGTTTCCAGAAAGGATCGTGGCCGTCCGTCCGACCCAAACAAAAGCTCCCTGAACAAATCATGAGGGTGCCTCCGGCGAAACGGCTGCTGGCCCAGGCTCCCAAGGGCTCCCGTCCCGCCTGTGAGACTTCCCTGTGGCCCCCTCCAACCACTCCTGGAACCCTCTGGCGAAACGCTGCGAGGGAAAGATCGCAAGTCGTCGGAGACCTGCGGACGGACCCCCAGCACGCGAGCGGAGGCCCCCGGGGCCCGAGGCACCCTGCCGAGGGCACGACCCCATGGCCGGGTACACGCCCAGGAAGCCCGCGTTCATCGCGCTCACGGGCACGGCCTGCTGGAAGCCGTAGCCCGGCTGCTGGGGCATGGGGCCGCCGGGGCGGGGCGCCGCCCCGTCGCTGGGCCTCGGCCCGGGGCCCCCGCCCTTACCGCCGCCACCGCAGCAGCCCGCCATGCATCCTCTAGCGCCGAGCGGCGGCCGAGCGGAAGCACACGCCTGCGGCCCCAGAGCACAGGTGCCCCGGAGCTTCTGCCCCCCCCGCCAGCTGGACCAAGGAGGAGGAGGAGGAGGAGGAGGAGGAGGAGGAGGAGGAGGAAGAGGAAGAAGAAGAAGAAGAAGAAGAAGAGAAAGAGGAGGAGGAAGAAGAGGAGGAGGAGGAAGAAGAAGAGGAGGAGGAGGAGGAGGAGGAGGAGGAGGACACAGACCCCTGGACCCCTGGGCCCTCACATCTCCGACGATGTGGTATTTTTCAGCCCTGGCGCTTGTCATCGGCTTCGGCCGCCGGGGCCTGCTATGTCGGGCCCCGGGGCCATCAGAGCATGGACCAGGGACGAGCAGTGACACCCTCAGGGAAGCGGGTCGGGGCCTCCTCGGCGCCGAGCACTGGACAACACACATCGTCGGATGTCTGGGCCAGACGGGGCTGCCTTCGCACTCTCGCACCGCGGGCGGAAACGCGGGGCGCGGTTGCTTCGGCGCTCTCGCGCCGCCCGCTGGAGAGCAGCGACGGCATCTTTGGGCCTGTGGTTCCTCGAGGGGGGCCGACGTGGGGGGAAAGAATGACCTGGAGTCAACGACACATCACCGATAGGCCCCCGATGGCGAAGCCCTGCGCTCCTGGACGGAGTTTGGCACCTAGGCCTCGATTGATGATGAGTGTGCGAGTGCCCCCTTGCCCCCTCTGAGCCGGTCCCCTGATGCCAATGAAGCCGACCTTCCCTGCGCGCTCTCTCTGTCGCCATACTGTCGCGGGGCTCACGAGGCCCCCGATTGTGACAGCGCTAGAGAAACCCGATCCTCCCGGCGCGCTCTGCACCGCAACTGCCGAGCTGTCGCTCGGCTCGAGGGCGTCCCGGAGGGCCCCAGGGGTGGAGCGAAAGGCTGGGGACGCCTTGGGCCAGGGACCCCTGTGACAACCCCCGTAGCTCTAGGGGGGCAGTCTGTGCCTGCGCCGGCCAGGCCGGCCTTCTCGGCGCGCAGATGCGGCGAAGCTACTGACATGGTGTCCGCGCCTGTCCTGCTGCGCTCCAGCGAGAGACCTCCCAGAAGGGGGGCGAAGGGAGAGGGGGCGGGAGAGGGAAGGCGAGAGGGGAGATGGACGGGCAGAGAAGGAGGCGGAGCGTCCCCAAGAAGGTCCCACCGACGGGCAGAGGAGGATGAGGGGACGCACGGGGCCTCCGAGGGTGCGTCCGCAAGCAGAACCACACACCTCAGGAAGATAACTGAGCACCGGAGGAGCCGCAGAGAAGAGGCGGTGGGAGGCACCGGGAGGGCAGAGGCCTAGGGGGAACCAGTGCCACGGGCTGAGGCTGGGCCGGCCAGTGGAGCAACGGGCCTCAGGGAAACCACTGCCACGAGCCACTGCCTCAGGGAAACCACTGCCAGCGGAGCAACACAGTGCTGGGCTGGAGGTGGCAGCCCCATCGCTGTGCGGCTCCAGTTTCCGAGCCGTCGCGTTGGCCGCTGCAGCCAGTTGGGTAGGGATCAGCACTGGCCCGAGTGCTGATCCCTGCCGAACTGGTTACATGGCGGGGGGAAAAGGTCACGGCTGACCCCAGCTTGTCTGACGAGGCTCGAGCCCACGGCTGACCCTATCGATCGCCGTGAACTGGTTCCGTCGGGTGCTCGAATTCTCTGCAAGCCAACTGTCGGAGCTGTCGGAGCTTCCAAATGCTCCGAACCGACGAGAAACTGCAGTGCCCCGCACAGCGGCCGCAGCAAAAAAAACGAATTCACACGGAAAGCGTCATGCCCCAGGGCCCCGAACTCCGAGATCAGGGCTTCAGGGGCCGCAGCACAAGCTCCGTCGATCCCCTGCTGCTCGGGAGGACCCGCCTCCGCACCAGGCCCAGGACGAGGGGCGTCCGCACTAGGGAAGAGGCGGCGGCAACAAGGGCAGAGGCAACTCTAGGGCTTTTCACGGGCTCCCAACGCTCAGTACTGGTCCTGGAGAAAATCCTGGGTGAGGGCTCTGGTCACCGAACTCAAGGCGCATCTGCGCCCCCCACCTGTCCGTAGGTGGTAGGGGGAAGACGAGGTGCGAGCCGACGCCCCGCTGACCCGACAGCGATACTCCCCACTCCAATGGCGCACCACCAGGTCATGATCATCGGGGCGTCGGGCGAGGACATGAATGAGAGGGAAGGAGGAAGGGTCGTAAGAGAAGGAGGAGGAGGATGATGATGAGGAGGAGGAGGAGGAGGGACCAGGAGCGACTGGACGCGAAGGGGAAGGACGAGAAGGAGGAGGAGGAGGAAGGAGGAGGAGGTTTTGACATCCGCACCCATTGACCCCACGAAATGGGGCAAACAGTGTCGAGCTCGGCTTGGACCCCCTTTCCTCTTGTGGTCAAGATGGAATCCCTTGCCCAACCTCGTCCACACCTCGCTGCGAGCAGGCGGCCAATCCATGCACTTCGTTTAGAGCCTGCACATATGACCACCTGTCGAAAACGCGTGGCAACTCTGACAGACACAAGCGAAGTTCGGATCGTCGAAATCCACAAGACAGCGGTGACCGAGAGCCCGCAATTCTGCGGGATCTATTCTGAACTAGCGGGTGCACACTCTTGGGTGGGGCTTCGGCTTGCTCCGCGAACCGCGCAAACAGTTGGGGCATTGCCAGAAAGGACCGACCCAATTCCACTCGCGGGAGGGAGCGGCAAGCTTGGGAGGACGAGCAGAACAGGCGAGCCGCTCGACACCCTCGAGGCTGGACCTCGGCCAACCACCCAAAATCTGAACAGCGAATTTGCAGACAGCCTTTGCCGCCCGAGCCGGAATGTTCAATTTAGCGCGGCCGTCTTCTTCCATATCAGCGTGCAACATCGTTCCTGCTTTAGCCTCCTCGTCGGCAGCATTGTTGCCGATGGCATGTCTGCGCTCGGCATCTGACATGCCTGGATCGTCGGCCCTGTGAGCTTTGATCTTGGCCACCAAGCTGAAACAAAAAACGTACTCGCGAAAGAGTGGCTCTGTGGGGTCTCAACGGAGGCAGCTGGTCCGCCAGGCTCTTGCTGAACTCCCTAACAGCCACCATGCCACCGAACAGCAAATGCGGGCCTGACAGCGAGCTGGCAGCACTGGCGGGCGCGGCGAACTCCGCAGCGACGCTCGTCTGCTGGTAGAAACCTCCGAGGGCGCCGCTCATCCGAGCAGGGATCTGACCCGCAGGACCGAGACTCACCTCTCCCCAACCAGAGCGGGACAGATCCTTGATCGAGGTGCGCATGCACGAGCCGCCCAGGTAAATGCCCCCCTTGAAGCCCCAAACCCCCTCGGAAGGAACTGCGAGACCCTCGGCCTGGAAAGCTCCTGGGGACAACCTGGATGCAAGCGCTGTCCACGGCCTCAGCCCAGCTCGTCGGCTCAGGGGTCCGCATGGGGCGGGCGCGGAAAAACAGCCCGATTCGCGCGCCAGCTTGAGGAACCAAGGCTGGGTCGGCGGAAAGCTCATCGCGGACTCTAGACAGAGGCCTTTCACCAACGACGTCGACTCTCTCTCTTCCTCGCACTCAGGGCAGAACCACCGCCTGTGTAAAATCGCGTCTCCGATCTGCCCGCGCAAATAACACGTGCCCTCCACCTGGTAGCCCAGGGCGGCTACCCAGAGGCCAGAGCACCTGGCACGCCAGGGCTCGGGCAACACCTGTTCCCCCTCGTGAAAACTTGGGCGATGCCAAGGCCGCGTCGACCAGGTCTAAGCAGAGGCGGGCACCGTCATAGTACGTGCTTCCAGCCTTGATCTCCAGGTCCACGAAAAAACATCACTCCTCAAACGTCGCTTCGAAGGGCAAGGGAGGTGAGGAGCAGAGGGGTCTCCGCGCCTCTGTCGACCGCCACCGTGAAAGGGTCGCTCACACTCCAGCCGAACCTGCGAAGCGAGAGAAACATGGCCCCGATGGGCCCCCTGCCCGATCTCCACGACTTGGGAGGGCGCGCCCGCGCCGCACCCCAGGCATCGCGAATCTCCTGCCAGCTGAGCGCCCGAGGCGATCTCGCTTGCAAAAGCCACAACTCCTTACTACACCTGATGAATGGCGCGACAGATCCGCACCAAGCTGGGTCTTTCTCGAGACGGGCGAGGACGGTCAGGGAACGCTCACCCCAGCTTGGTTTCATCGCAGTCGCAACAAACCACCTACGGATCTTGAGCACCTCGCCGTCTGACATGCCACGCACCTCAGCGCCGTGCTGAGCTCCCGCTAATGGCCCAGCAACAAGAAACCGAGTGGCTCTCGAGCCGGACGTTCCAAGCTGGCGAACTCAGCGGCGGGCCTTCCGAGCAGCAGCAGCCACCCTGGCCTTCGCCTTAGCATTCCTCCCCCTAGCACGCCTGGGGGTCCCTGGAGCGAAGTCGATGCCGACGTTCACAGTGGACCCACTGTGGGGCCCCACGATGTTCCCGAAAGCCCTATGGAAACGCCCAGAGATTGTTTTGGAAGACGACACCACGGCCACATTATCCATGGAAGTCTTGGCCCTCATCATGACAGTGATGGCGCGCTGTCAGGATGGAGCTCCCTCCTCGAGGTCACTGGCTACCTGATGGTCGGCCGCGCCGACATAATTGAAACTCGCATCTCCAATGTCAGCGTCGAGCGTAGCACGGGGGCCCAAGTTCGCCGAGTCGAAGGCCTCGACGACGAAACCCGTAATCATCGTGGTCGCGATCGAGCAGCCCGCGGTGACCCCGTGACCCCCGAACAAGGCGGGCGAAACAACGCCGCGCAGAACTGCGAACCTGGCCGATCGACGCCCAGCCAAGCAGGCAGCCATCATAACATGAGGGCAAGTAAGTCGACGGCCCTGGGTCTCCAAGAAAGCCACTGGAATCTGCTCGTAGTATTTCAACAGATCGTTAAAAACAGCTCCTGCATGCTGGCCCGGAGTGGCGCTTCGCTCAGCCGTGACGGACTGGCGCCAAACAGCGCCTGAAGCCGACCGATGCCTCCCCGCGGCCCAGTGGGGCCTATCATGCTCGGCCTCCCAAGCGGCCGCGCAGGGCCTGCGT